AAATAGTTTCTTTGCATCTGTCCTCAGATATGATTGTGTGGTATTCTTGAGAGGTTGTCACAGAGATGTGGGGGGGGGGGTGCAAGGCACTAGATTACATCTTTCTGAAGATTGCAGGAAAGGATTCTTTGACCCCCAAACAGGAAGGATTCTTTGACCCACAAATAGAGAGAATAAAATTCTTTGGTACAGAGGGAATGGCATCCAATGTGGCTGATTCCGTCTGGAGGAAGGAGTTCTCAACCAGAGCTCCATCTTGATGGCTGCCATTAGCATGGGGAGCAGAAAAAGAGCTGGCTGCCTCAACCAACAAGGAGTTCCAGGTAGAAAGCAGTAGCTTCTAAGCTTCAAGAGCCTCCAAGAGTCTTAGAATAAGTCCAAGTAGGGCATGTATAGGGCTGAGGACTGTGTGCTTATGTTTTTGTTTTGTATTCCTTGCTCAATCCATTACTGTGCAGAAATATGCATATGGATTTTTTACTTCTAATAAATTCTTTACAGTTTTAAATTATGGTGGTTGTTCTCCATACCACTTAAACACTCATTATTGAAACATGCTATCTGAAACTGGTGCCAGGTTGAAGGGAGATGATTAGTTGCTAAATCACTCTTTTCCCTGGGGTGGGGATATGTGGCAGGGTAACCAGACTTTGGGTAATGGGAGAGGCAGGCAGTACCTGGAGCCTTAGAATAGCAACCTGGAAGGGAAGCTGGGAGTACTGAAATGACCAGTTGGTGACAGCATAACAAAGAAAGAATGAGAGAATTGTCCCTCCAAGAGTCCGATTAACTGTGGGAGTTTTAATCATCATCATCATCGTATGGCAGTGAGTGTAGTATAGCTAGGAGATCCTAAGATTGTCTGGCAGCCAGAACTTCTGGCTCTTTTTTTGCATGATGCACCACTAGGTGTTAAGCTAGGCTTGTTTTTAGGCTGAAAGAGAGCTCTGAGAGCTGTGACTGACCAAAGGTCACCCAGCTGGCTTCATGTGGAGGACTGGGGAATTGAACCCGGTTTTCCAGATTAGAGTTCCTCTCTCTTAACCACTACACCAAACTGGCTCTCTACTTGGAGAGTGAAGACTTGGGATGGTCATTGGGCACCTAGGTACTGCAGACTGCTCAACAGAGTGGTGCTCCTGAGTCAACAGAGCCATTCCACCACAAAGAATAGCAATGACCTATCATGAATTATGTCAAATGGTCCTCAGTTTTCATATACCTAAATTCACTACTGTAAAAAGGTTTTGGTTGCATTCCAGTTATATAGCCATCAGCACGGGTTTTCTGCACAGCTTTTTGATTCATTCATTGTAGAACAGGAGTATCCCAGGGCACAACTCTGGCTGTGAGATTTTTATCATAACATATTTCATATTGCTTGTCTTTCGTCCACACAGAAAAAAAAAAGGATTCTCCATAATGCAACACCCAGAAATGTTTAATAATTGAAATGGTCCTTCATTTTTTCATAGATGTATGGTATACGCTATGTATAGACACAACTTATTTTTTTTGTATTGATGTTTAACATTCATATTCATTCATACTCCTTTTCATCAATATTATATAACATAACCAAACATCAAATACATCTTATGTCGTTAATGCCGTAAAATAATGTAAGGTTGATAAGAAAGCAAACATTGCATGGATTTCAAGTTTGTTTGGTCCTCCCTCCACCAATTTCCATTTCCCCCTACTCTTTTTGGCATGGGTTTAAGATTTCGAGATATTTTACACCTTAATCCACAAGGTTTGCCAATACTCATATGCCTCTGTTTTGTTGACATTGTTTCCTATGATTTTGGCTAGTGCCTGGTCAAACTTACCTTTGCGAAATCCAGAATGCTCTGTGCGGTTTTACAAAATCTCTAGCAAAAAATAGAGATGTGCTGGCAAAAAGAATATGAGGCTCTGACTGTACACTCAACATGACTGAATCTGAGCCCCCTGAGACAATGGTTGGTTTATTAAGGAAGAAGATAAGGTATAGTCATAGAAAACTGACTCAACCCAGTATGACGAAGGCACCAGGCCTATCTTGTTGTTGTACATTTTAACCTCATCGAGAAATCAGAATCTAGTTAGAAACCCATTAAAAAGACACAGACTCCATAGTTTTAATCGAAATGACTTGAGCAATTTATTGAAAGAGAAACTACAAAACTACAAGGAAGCAGAGGAAGAACTTAGGAGAGGAACAGAAGTACATGATTACATGGATATTCAATTGAATTGGACATACAGTTCTGTTTTTATCTCTATAAATGCCAACCTGCCCATTCTACTCTAAAGCCAAATTACAACATTATTCTAAGTTTATAAAGTATAGATGCCCATAGTTACCAATTCAGAGGCGTCAGTTAAAATAGCCAATTTTAGCCAGGGAAACTCCTGGAGATTTTATGGAATCACCTGGACAAGGGGAGGATACTCAGTAGGGATGTTCATTTGGTTTGGACGAACTGGAAAAAATGAATATTCAGCATTATTCGGGCCTGCCTAAAGCTGAATCAGATTCCCTAATCTGATTAGGCTGGCCGAACAGGGATTCCCCGAATGGGTGCCATATATTTGGTATCCATTCGGGGAATCCCTTTGCTGGGCAAGGGGAAGGCATGGGGAGGTATATAAATGCCTCCCTGATCCTTCCTGGTTCCTACCCAGCCTGCCCACCTTGGCAGGCAGGCCACGGAAGGCACAGGGGGCATTCTCCTGGCCTTCGCCGGCTCACTCACTTCAGTGGGATGTCTGGGGGAATGCACTGGGAGGAATTTAAATGCCTCCCTGCTCCTTTCATGGCCCTCTCCAGCTCTCTCACCTCGGTGGGCAGGCCAGGGATGGTGGTGGGGCCTAGCCTGGGGGGCAGTGGGCTCCCTTCAATGAAGGGAGTGTGCAGTCTCTGCGGTGCAACTTGGGGGGGATTTAAACTTTAAACCTCGTGTCGTGCCGCAGAAGCAGCACACTCCCCTCATTGAAGTGATAGGAAACCCGCCATTCAAGGGAGGATTATTATACCCTACGGGGACAGTCCCCATAGGATATAATTGAGTCAAGTTATTTGCCTAGTCCGATAATTCCCGAAACCCAATATCATAATGATACTGGTTTTGGGGAATATCAGCAAATACTGAATTTAATTTTTTTAAAAGCCCCTGGAGGGGATTTTTTAATTTTTTTTATAATACTACACAAACTACAAAGAAAAAAAGGAGGGGGAACTACAACTATGGAGAAAGGAAAGTAACCCACACTATACTAAAAGCCCAAGAGTAGGAGATCATTACCCTGTTAAACTACAGTTAGTAATAAAAAAGCTGTTAATAAACAATATACTTTGTGAGATCCTGTCTTATTAAGCTGTTGTGACTTACTAAGCTTAAGTGTTAGTTTATTACTTGTTATGAGCAAAAACTGATTTTTTTCAGGCTTGGTAGCTCCGAACCCCCCAAAAATTGAATTTTTTTTTCGTGCATACCCCTAATCAGTAGCAGTGCTCCTCTAAGCTGTGGAGCCTTGTGAGCAAAAATCCTACTTTGTGAGCTACTGCCATTAAAGTTGTGAGTGAGACAAAATGTGTGAGCCAGAGGCTATAAAACTGAGCTAGCTCACACTAACTCATCTTAGAGGGAACACTGCTCGGTAGGGATGTGATTCCATAGAGTCTACTCTCGAAACCTGCCCTTTTCTCCATGGGAACCAATATTTGCATTCTGGAGATCTCCAGGCCACACATGGAGGTTGGCAACTCTAGGGTATCAGTAGAAAACAGGATGTTGGTCTCTCTCCAGAGGATCTTCAGGTCAGGTACCCTAGCAGCTTGTTTGGGCCCTTCCAACCTTCGGCCTTTTATTCATTTCTCTAGACCAGGGCTGGGTATAGAAGTATCAATGGCATTTTAGTTTCCTAAGTGGACAAATATATATGTTCTTACAATATCCCTAGTGGTTCCGAAAACCTTGTCCTCTCTCTCTCCTCTCATTTTTTGTTGGTTGGATTGTTTAAAGGCAGGAAAAAAGTGTGGCATTATTGGAAGTGCTTCAAACATTTTAAACAGCACACTACTGAAATTCAGAAGCAAAAAGAAGAGGTGGAAACAGAAGAAAGCAGTCTACCTCAAGAACAACTGGCAGCGAGGCCTCCTGCTGATGTCTGGCCTTCTTCAGTGGCCTCAGACGTTAGCGCTCTCCTTCTGTGTCCCGGGGCAGATCTTCTTCCAATTCCGTGGCTCCTTCTCTCAGCGGGGCTCCTCCGGTGCGCGGCCCGTGACCGCCGCAGCTCCGACTATCGTCCTTTCCAGCTCCATCGCGCTACGCCGCTGTGCTGCCGCACCTCCGTGGCTCTGCCCCTGCCGGACTCACACTGCACTCAGCCGCTCCAACACTTCACTCCACCATTACTGTTCCATCGCTGCCACTGCTGCCACCGCCGCCGCCTCCGCTGCACACCCCACTAGTGGGGAGGTGATGTTTGTATGCTGCCTTTCTGTCTTATATAGGGCAGAAACAAGTCCACAGACAATTGACCAAACCCTCCGTTTCCTTTGAATCAGAGAGAACTAGAGGCTTAAGGGTGTCTTTTTAACATTTACTTTATTTACATACAAGCAGAACTTCAGTGGAGGCATACAGAGGCAAGATTCAAATCCCTGCTTGCCATGAAATTGGTGGAAAGACCTTGGATCAGTAAGCCCCAAATCTACCTCACAGGGTTGCTGTGAAGATAAGATGAATGAGGGAAGACCAATGTACACCACCTCAGTTCCTTTGAAGAAAGGTACATGTGTTAGCTATATTAATATTAAATAATCCAGTCCAACTCCAGCTAAGAAATTCTAAATTCTGCCGGTGACCACAATAATTTGCTCATGAGGAGATCCACTAATACAACTCAGTGGAGCTTGCACAGACAATTTCTCAGTGGATCATTCCCCAAGAGTAGTTCAGGATCCTTCTTGCAGAAAAGAATGTCATCTCCCTAAGATAGTTAGGTAGGTTTTAAGACGGTACTTTCCTCAAACGGCATTTTAAGTTATGCATCATCCTGACCCATGCCTGTTTCAGTTTGGGATTAATTAATATCAGGATAATGGCATGTCCGGAGGGGTACACAGCACTCACATTATAGAGCACAGGTGTCCAAGTGTGTTGGCTGTCCCAGACCAGTACTGAATGTGAAGCGTCCACTGCAAAACTGATGAGGTACAGAACTGCAAAGGAAGCCAGAGCTTTGATGGCACTCAAGTGCGCTTGTGTGTTGAGATCCCCGGTGCCAGTTCCATTGCATTGGACTCTTCTCATGTGCTTCCACAGCGAACTTATTAAAAAGATGGACGATGACAGAAATATCATAAAGGGAATAAAATCGAAGACAGCGGTTAGAGTAGCGAGATGCTTACAAACGTGTGGCATGTTCATTTCTGCATTGCTCCTGTTGCTTGAAAGTGATTTGTAGGGATTGCAGGTAGACAAGTCATAGCTCCAGCTTGTGATAAAAATAATAGTCACAACAGCAGAGAAGACCACTGAGCCCAGAAGCAACCAAGGCACCAGCCCAGAGAATCGTTGCTTGAACTGCAGAAAAACAGGGTGGGAGAATATGGCGATTTTTGCTAAGTAGAAAACACTGAGGCAAGCAGCAAAGCAAAGGTTCACAGTGTTTGTAAATACCCATATACTGCCCAGCGTGATCAATACGTTCCTCCGTATATCGTTAAGCAAAGTAAATACAGTTACACCCAGAATCATTACTGCCTGCAGCAAAAGTCTGGATAAGCCCAGACAGATCAGGATCAGGTCCGTCGGGGACAGTTTCCTGTGTCTGAACCAGTCAATGAAATTAATGAGGACAATGGATCCATTTGCCACCATTCCAAAGAAGGTTTCCATAACCAGAAATACAAAGCAGACTATTGTTAATAAGGTAGCCATCTTACTGAGCAGCAAAAGAAAGCGTGTCTTCTGCTGTGATCATGCTTTTTCTGATGCTCTCCTTTCAGTGATAATGACACCACAGAGAACAACACTTTAACCTTGTGTTTAGGAACAGAAAAGAACATCCGCAGAGGCTGGAGCTATTTCCACAGGTTGATCATAATGAGATGCAAATATTACCAGGAAGGGCTTGATTACTAACACAACAATCCTCAGGTGAGTTATACCTCTCTAACCCCACTGTCTTTAATGGATTTTGATGGGAGTAACTCTGTTCAGGATTGCTCTGTAAATCTATATCCTCTTCTAAAATGTCATGTTTGCGTATTCTGCAGGGATGCTAAACATGATCTTTGTATCTGTCCTCAGATATGATGATGTGCTATTCTTGAGGGATTTTTTGAGTTAGAATATTTTCCCAATTCCATCTATTGGTCACATGAAGCTGCTTTGTATAGAATCAGACCCTTGGTCCATCTGGGTCAGTAGTGTCTACTCAGACTGACAGTGGCTTTGCCGATTGTCAGGTTGGGGTTAAAAGTATCAGGAAGAAGGTGATGTGAAAGACTGTTATATAGCAATAACTGGATGTACCAGGGATGTTGGGAAAGGTGAGCTGCAAGGTCTAAGATTCAGTCATTATAGGGTTAATCTGTTCACCTTGTGCGCTATTGTTTAGCCTGACTCAGAAGGAAAGTTGACACAGAGCCAATGCAAACAAAGCCCAGGAAAACAAGTCTTTTTATTAACATTGATTGGCTAATGTATTCAGGTGATTTCCTTCTAGGGGTCAACAGTGCTAGCATACGTTTGCACATCTGCATATGTTTATCACCCTTAAGTGGCAGCTCCACTGTCATTGCACCTCCGCACCACTTTAAAAGAATCTTCTCCAAACAACGTTCAAACAAGCATAGAGAAAGACAGTGTCACAACAGCACAAAACTGATTTAAAAATGCAAATGCAGATTCGACCATTGAATGGTTGGTTTATCAAGGCAGGAACACAAGGTATGCAGACTCAACACAGACTGACTCAACCCAGTGTGACTAAGGTTCCATGTGTATCATGTTGCACATTTTGACTTCATCAAGCACTCAAAGTCCCAGAACATTGCCCTCTCTCTCCTCTCATTTTTGGTTAGCTTCTTTGTTTAAAACACTTCTATTCTGCCTTTCGGCCCTATTAGCTAAATATGTAATGAACAGACTGGCATCAAAGACGCTAGATATACTCAATCATCATGTCAGTATATAATTAATCTCAAAGTGAAACTGTGACATTATTGTAACAGTAAATACAATTAATAAACATTCATGAAGTTATTGTGATTATAAGAATACATGAAGTTATTTTGATCATTATAAAGTGATTGCTGTTGACGAGAACACCCGGATTAAGTTCCGTTTTGTCTCTTCGTCTGAACAAACCTTCAATATAAAACAATTTGCACACATCAACATTAATATGCTTTTCAAAGTGGTTTTTTTTACAAAATTTCTTTACAATTTTTTTAACAACATTTATAGAAAAAAGATCCATGGTTAAATACCTTCACTAAGGGTTTCAAACAGTCCTATTATTTTCCTAGCTATGATTTCTGTGTGTCATGCAAACATCTTCAAGTAGTGTTAATCAGTAATCTACAGGAATACACAAATGTTTATACACCTATACATAACACTCAAATATTTCTAATTTCTTTACTCTATCTTCACCAATACTCACTCATCTTCAATATGCACGTTATGTCGGGCGTTCTACAAATCAACTGAAAGGTGCCTTGTTTCATTTTTCCAAGGAGTGGCTAATATACATCCAAAGTTCTAATCCACACTCAGGACACTCCATCCTTACTAATACTTACACACTCTTTTATGAAGGGGGGGGGAGGAAACCTGCAACCACTTACACACTGTAGTGTTTATATTTCCGTATACTATGATTTTATTGTCATCTCTACAATTTATCTATTTAGTCTTGGCCATAAAAACTTGAATCCTCATGTTTACATAAGGGAGGGTTCTTTACATCAGAGATATTTAATTGGAAACATCTGGGCTTCTGTTCTTCAAAAGTACTTTAAAGTAATTACTGACCAATTTCATTTTGCTGTCGAGGTGCTCTGTTATATAGCAAGCACTATTTCAAAGACCATTATCAGGGCTCATGTTTCACAAAATCCATACAGGAACTTAGAGCATTTATCAAACTTTCTAAAAAAACAAGATAGATCTAACACAGCATTTAAGCCTCCAGGTTGTACTGTTTTTAATCTATGGATCCAAAATGCCTCCCTTCTGAGAAGCATTTTGTGGAGATCTACTTTGCAGTATCATGTGGGACACACTATTTCCAAAACAACCACTTCGAAATAATCCGTACTGTGACCTGCGTCCTTAAAATGTTGGATGGCGGGAGCCTCCAAACATTCATGTTTGATGTGGGACTTATGTTCCAGTGTACGTGTTCTAAGCATCCATGTAGTTTCCCATATGTACCGCTTGTTGCAACCACATTGGAGAAGACATACGATGCCCCTCATGCTGCAGGCTGAAAAAAAAAAATAATATTCATCTTAAAACCTACATCAGGAAAATCCAGTATATCAGTTTCCCAAATCAGTTTACAGGCAGAACATCTATGGCAACTAAATTGTCCCTTAGGAAGATCACAGATCTCTGTTGATTCTGGTAAGTCTGCTCTGATTAGTTGTTCTTTAAAATTCCTAGTTCTCTTAAAGCTAATTATTGGCTTTTCTATACATTGAGGCACATCTGATAAAATGTGCCAATGTTTCCATATAACGTTTCTGATGGAATATGCCAAATTAGTGAAATCCACTGCCCAGTGTAATCTACTGCTGCTTTTCTCCTCTCGTGTCTTAAACAGTTCTTATCGAGGTTTAGTTTGTGCCCTGTTAAAGGCTCTACTAACAATTTCTTCAGGGTATCCCCTATCCAAGAACTGTTGAGACAGCCTTTTGGCTTCTTCAACAAAATCTTCCAGAAATGTTGAATTTCTTTTTAGTTGCAGAAATTGTCCATAGGGCAAATTATGCTTAAGATAGTCTACGTGATGTGAAGTGTAGTGTAAGAAAGAATTCCTATCCGTTTTTTAATGAAAGGGTCGGACTGCCAACTTCCCTTCCCTAATGAACACTGTGGTGTCTAAGAAATGAATCTGTGTTTTATTGGCCACATGAATCATGAACTTCATTTAGTCTTGCAACTTGATCTACAATAATGGATTCATCATCTAGAACAAAAAACAAATCATCTATAAATCTCTTGAAAAAAAAGAACATGCTCACCAAAAGGATTGTTGTCCCTATCCAAAATCCACTTTTTTTCAAAATTCCCCATAAATAAGTTAGCCACGCTGGGGGCAAATGAACTCCCCATCGAGACACCTTTTATTTGCCAGTAGAATGTTATCTTGGAACCAAAAAAAACTTTTTTAAAAAATGTCATCAATAAGATCAAGCAAAAAATATGTTGGAGGGGAAAGTAATTCCCGTTGCTCTAAAGTAGTAATTAAACACATTCTTGCCTCCTCATGAGGAATATTGGTATAAAGGGATTTCACATCCATTGTGACTAAGGTAGCAGACCTTGGCACTGCTCTTCCCTCTATTTTGGTAATAAAATCTTTAGTGTCCTTTATATATTTTGGTAATTGGACCACAAATGGTTGAAGAAATGAGTCAAGGTACTTTGACAAAGGTTCCAACAAGGAATTTGTACCAGAAACTATAGGGCGACCGGGAGGTGGCATCCCTTCCTTGTGAATTTTAGGGAGTATATATAAAACTGGTACCCTCGGAAAAGGATTTATTAAATACTCTGCAATTTGTTGGGATATATTATCCATGGCTAGAGCTTCCCTTACTGTCACTATAATGATATTGGTTACTTCTTCTGTGGGGTCGTGTGTTACCAGTTTGTAAAATTCTCCATCATTTAATTGTCTATTTATTTCTTTAAGATAATCCGTTCTATTTTGAATTACAATAGCTCCCCCCTTATCTGCATTTTTAAACACAATAGATTGATCTCTGGCCAGTTCTGTAAATATATTACTTTGTTGTTTTGTAATATTGTATCTCAAACGTGGTACCTGAGATTCCAACCTTATAATATCTTCTGTGACTCTTCTTTCAAATACCATAATAGAAGGACACTGGATATTGGGGCAAAATTGTGATTTATTTTTGAAAACATTATATTCAGTGTTGCTAGACTCACCAAAGAATACCTTTAATCTGAGCATTCTAATTAATTTAAATAGGTCTACTCTGGTGTTAAATGCATTATACTTTGGGGTAGTCACAAAACTCAACCCTAGATTCAACACTGTATTTTCC